AAAAATGAAGAGGACGGCGAAAAAGAAGGCCAGTCTTCTGGTTGCAAAGGATGGTTTGATGACCATGATGTTCGATATCGTCTTCCTTGGCACACTCAAAAAAAGAGTTGGAGAAGAAAGCTGAATCACGAGAATCAGATGCCGGGTATCCGAAGTTGCTAGTGTGTCCAGAACATCAATTTGATTCAGGATTATCCCTACATTCCCCCTTTAGCGGGTCCCTCGATGGGGTCTCAGCCTCTGACGGGTCCGCGCCACCAATTACTCCAGTAAAATTACACCTCACCTCATGGAAAGTCCGATTTTTCTTTACAGGACAGGCGCTACATGAGATTTTGTGGTGCAACAAGGGCGAGGATTTTCTTAATTACGGTACTGGCGCAATCTCATGATATCTCGGTCATCACGATATCCCGAAACGCTCTTACTAGTTGGAAACCCCTGGATTCAAATTACGTAAAGGATATTCTTAGTGTAGAATGATGTCATACAAGCCCTCACCGTATTCTGACCGTGTTTTATGCTTCTCTATGTTAACCCTAACCCTATCACAACTTTTTCTCCCTGAAAATTGGGAAGAAGAGGAACAGCTTCATATTCGACCAGCTTTTCCTGCCCACCAAGTAGATGAATTCAAATGAACTGGACTATCTTGCAAGTCAATCCAAGCCAAAAGACTTGGCTTCTTCGGAACCTTGCCAACGCTAGCAGGTTTACGCACTAGCTACGACCTTCACCAGGCCTACAACTTTATACCGTTTTGCATTATATCCGGTAGTTACTCCGTAGGGTGTTGGGATTCCGCCCCCGGGTAGGGCTGAACACCCCTGTCTGGCTTCTAAATATAGAGCATATTGGGTCACTGCAACCTCGGTGCCTGCCACGCCGCTCAGGGGGAGCCGCATCGCTCATGGCCGCCCATCCGCGGGCTCGGTTCTTTCCCAGTGAGCAGGCATCAACCTTCAGCTTCTGGGGACGTGGCTCCGGGCTCATAACCCCCAACCAGCTAACCGCTCAACCACTGAACCACATGCCCATCACCGAAAGGCGTGCTCGGCTCAGTGGTAATTGGTAAATATGGATGGCTTCGTCCCCACCGTGACAGTGGCCCTTTTCCAGGATCATCCTTATCCTAAAACATGTCGCCGTCAGACAGTTCTTACGACCGCTTGATGCTAGTGTCATCGCTGTACGGCCCCGGCGCCGTCGGTAGCTGGCTGTGCATGGTTACGTCGGTCTTGGTGACATGGACATTGAACCCCCGCAGCCGGCAACGTGACTCCATCACCAACGACCTCATCGCCGCCCTGTCCATGCCTACATTTGCCGCCTCCCACGTGTTTTATCTCCTCTTGTTCACTACAAAGCCATCCCAGCTGGACCAAGCCTTTCTTCGGAGCCGGACGACCCTGCTGACGACCCCAACGCCTGCCGGTGTACAATACGCCGCCGCCGTTGAAGCACCGCTGATTATATGCGACACCTTTTCCGTCCTGGGACTTATCCTGTTTGCCTTGGCGGCCGTGCGTCGGTTTCCCCGGCGAGTTGTTGCTGTGTTAGCCGTCGGGTTCCTGGCTTTCTCGACCGAGACCATGATATTCGCGCAGACATCTGGAATCGCTGTTGTGGAAAGCAACCTGACGAGGCCGTTTCTTTTCAACTTTTTCGAAATCATGGTGACGATCCTGGCCATAATTTGCCTGTCGCTCCTAGGTCTATTCGTTCTGGTGGCATACTCGGCGCCCAGACTACTTGCAACCAGTGGCCAACAGGCTGTTAGACCCGGGGATGGTCTTGGACGCGAACTACAAGACTTGGCGGACGAGGAAATCCTTCAGATGCAGCCGGACAATGAAGCCAGGGCTTTACTCTTTCACCGAGAGGCCCGTATAATCAGTGCCATTCAGCCACTCTCCGTGATTACGTCGGTACTGAGTGGGATCGCGGCGACCTTGGCAGGGAGTGGGATTCTAGGAACGACCAAGGTAATGCAGTCGTTCAGTTGGGGAGAACGGTTACTCTTTTTCATTCCGAAAACCTCGGTCAGTATCCTTGACATCGACCAACTCGCTGCCTTGACTATTCCGGCATGCAAGGCCCCGCTTGAACAGATATAAACTGACCATGTCGGCGACGCTCTACTGTCGAAGTCTATGTCTTGACGGCAAGGTCGTGCTCAAAGAGGGCGGGAATACCCCGCAGCCAGCTATCTTGCCGGGTGAAGCGGAAAACGGAGGGGCCATGGTTTTGAGCGTCATGTATTACAAGGCATCTTGTCCCAAGGACAAGTCGAGCAGCGAGTTGGAGAATCTGGTTGGCGCTGTCAAACAGGTCTGTCAGCAGGATAGTACGTGGCAGGGGTCACGGTTTAACAAGGACTTTGAAGTGCTTGGGGGCGTGTGGGCTACTGGGTGTGGTATGTTTAGCGCTTTTGGGCAGTGATGTGTTTGGTAGGATGGCCAACTACCTCGGTACCGTGGGTAGACGATGGCGAGGTTGAAGCGTGTTTAGGGTTGCTACTGGGGCCTGCACAATTTGCACATACGTATAGATGCAAAGTCTTTCGCATCAATGCACAGTACGTCCCAGTGCCTTCTAATCGGCATACATGCCAAAACCGGATGACTGAGGTGTCACTGCGCAGTGCGGAGCCGCTATTGTTCCCGGCGACCGCGAGTGTTATTCCCCCAGGGCCTCAGCAGCCACGACGCCCGCACAACTGCCATTTCCAACCAGATACTGTATGGGTAATTACCCTACTTTATATCGATTGGGTGAAAACTAGTCTCGTCGCGGCCGGCGAGCTATTGGTTCCCTACCTCGCCCATCCTATCACAGTGAATGAGCCAAACTATTACACCAGAATTGACCGAGAGAAGTGGCGAGGCACATCTAATGTGTGCAAGGAGAGCGGCCGCTGACATGTACAGTTCTTACAGTAACCGACCTTGGTATGAGACGTTGATGTTGTATCGGGAAGAACGGCCAAATCCCTGGCAAGAACCCAAGAGGCCAAGGAATTGCTCCCACTTCACCGGCGGAAGAAACGGCCCAACAACCAAAGTTGACTCGTCGAGATAACCGAAACCCCCGCAAGGATATGGGGCACGTTACGAGGATCACAAAAGTACTGGGGCCTCAACATGTCGATCATCTTGGCCTCTAATCGTTCCCCACTCGGGAAAGGAGGAGTATATAATATCATATCCAAAGCCGTCATTCGCTTTCAGAGCTGACCTCGATTTATCAATCACTGCATACCCACAGGACAGCGATATTAGTCGATTCCTTCAAGGACAGGTCTCAAAATGACAGGAACAGGTGCGAACGGGCCCAACGGCGGCGCCAACGGCAACGGGAATGGCACAGCCAGCCCAACCATCCACCCGTCTATCATCCTTCATCCAAACGACCTCGCCTCGGTTCCGTCCCTAATCAAGGAAATCCTCTCCAAAGGGTCTCTCTTGAGCTCATCCCCTTACAATGACCACGAATACGAAACAGCCCGGCTCTCACTCGTCCAAGCCGCACATCGCCTCGTCATCTCGCTCGAAAAGCCGCGAGAGACCATGATCCGCCAAACCTGGGCCAACACCGCTGGATTCTCTGTCCTGACCATCGGCATCGAGGCCGGAATCTGGGCATCCCTCGCTTCGTCCTCCTCTCCCCAGACGGTCTCCCAAATCCACACCAGGCTGCCCTCCCACGCTGCAAACTTTCACAAAGGCTATCTAAGCAGAATCCTCAAACACGCCGCGGCAATGGGGTACATCACCGAGACCGGGCCGGATACCTATCTCGCCAGCAACTTTATCAAGTCCCTGACAATTCCCATCATGGGTTCCGGATACAGCGTCTTCTCTGGCCCCGGAAGGACAGGCGGTGCTAGGTTGCCCATGCTAGCTCTTCCCGCTTGGCTCCAGGAAAATGGGTACGAAAAAGAACCCGAGGGGCCAATGGGGCCATTCCAACACGCCCATGACACGAAATTGAACATGTTTGAATGGTTCCATGCTAACCCCCCCGCTGGGGAGTGGTTCAACCTTCACATGGGCGGGTATGCATTTGGGAGACCGAACTGGTTTGATGACGAGATTTATCCTGTTAGGGAGAGACTGATTGATGGGTTCAAGGATCGTGAGGGTGAGGCATTGTTGGTTGATATTGGCGGTGGCTTGGGCCATGATATCGAGGCTTTTGCCAGCCGGTTTCCGGATGCCAAGGGACGGTTGGTTTTGCAGGATTTGGAGCATGTTATCGAGCAGGGCTTGCAGACAAAGGTTGAAGGGAGTCGCGTTGAGAGGACGGTTTATGATTTTCATACCGAGCAGCCTGTCAAGGGTGAGTTGACTCTCATTTATAGTGTGGATATTGACGAGGACAGGACATATTCTGACAACATGAATGACTACGACAGGCGCCCGAGCGTATTACATGCACTCCATCCTCCACGACTGGTCCGACGACATTTGCGTCAAGATCATTGCCAACATCAAGGAGGCCATGAAGCCGGGATACTCGAGACTGCTCATCGACGAGGGCGTCATTCCGGATACCGGTGCCAGCTGGGAGGCCACGGGGCTGGACATGATTCTATCAGGTCTCCTGTCGTCCCGGGAACGGACCCGTGCCGAGTGGACGCGGTTGTTGGAGGAAAAGGCCGGACTCAAGATCAACAAGATCTATCACTACCTGGGGGATGCCAGCCGCGGGACCACGAGTTTGATCGAGTGTGAGCTAGTCTAGTGGACTGAATATGAGATTGTAAACTTGAACTTTCTTTTCTGGAAATCTTATCTTATCTGCGGACCCAATGTTTATGCTTGTCAAAGTAAACACGAGTCAGGGGCTGGCATTATGCTCCATCACTGCATGTGAAGACATCCACAACGACAGCCACGTCAGACGCCCATTGGCTTGTGCAGTGGAAACTCTGGCAATTCTCGCAGCTACGATGAGAAAAGTCTGCTTGCCGGCATGATCATCATCAAATCACACAAGCCCGATTAGCTCAGCTGGTTAGAGCGTCGTACTAATAGAATTCTCGGTTCCCAGCTCTCCCCGTTGAGAGAGGATCCAAAAAGAGGTTCTATAGAGTCCATGCGAAGGTCAACAGTTCAATCCTGTTATTGGGCAAGTATATTCGGGGCCATACTCTATCTGTTCGCGCAGAGTGTCGCGCTGTCTTTTTGTTTCCAGCGAGCACCAGTGAGACTCCCCAGATTGGATGCTCATGTCACAAAGGTCTTACTTATATTGTCTTTTTGCGATTTACTTTTTCCTTTTCGTAAGACTGATTGATGCACCTTTCTTTCCATCCAAGACACTCTTGATGATACCGTTTGGGTTTGTAGCAAAATGCGGATACAGTCCAGTTCACAGGCTGTTTCAAGTTCTGGACCTAGCTGCCCCTATACTAAACACAAGATGTGGTGCTTGCTGTGCACTGTGAGTGTAATACCGTAGCGAGTACAGATAAAGAGAGCGGAACAATTTCCAAGAAAGTTAGTGCTGACATATCACATACCCATCCCACCCTCCAACCCCCCACGGAGTTCAAATCAGATCACCAAGCCGGATTACTCGGCAGTTGATACTCTGTGTCTATCGTAGCGAATGCTGCGAGCACTCGCCATTATCCCACACTACCTACCAAGCACCTGGTAGGAGAAGTAGCAGGTTGGCATGCAGGCTGAGTCACACACCAACATCTTCCAACACAATAGCTGCAAGGAACTTGGATCATGGTATGGTGACACAACCTTTTATTACCGAAATACTAGCCGCCAAGATTATGTGCCCAATAGGAAACTGGAGAATAGGCGGGATCTGTTGGATTCAACACTCAGATGATTTTGAACAAGATTGATTTTTGATTGTCCTCCCAGTTTTCAGACCCAGGGCTATCGTTTGGTCTATATAACA